CCCGCAGCTCGCTTCAGTTTAGGGTTCAAGGCTTAGGTGGAGGATTGAGGGGGTTTGGGGCTTCTAAACGCAAATCCCCCCCAAAAAAAACCCGAAACATTCAATCCTGAACCCTGTTCTAGGTGATGGGAGGCTGCTGTGATTTCCCTGGCACCCACTGGCACCAGCGTGGCTTAGCTGGAGAGTTTTGTAGGGGCTGAAAGCTTCAGACGTTAGGGTTTACTTGCAGGTTCATGGGTAGTTAGAAGTGGAGTTGTGGGGTTCCTTTAAAGGGTTCTATAGTATAGGGTTTAGGGTTTAGGGTTCATGGGTAGTTATAAGTGGAGTTATAGGTCCCCTACTATGGGTTAGAAGTACAGTTACCCTAGTTATAACGTCATCTATAACTACCCATGAACCTCCAAGTAGGGCTTGGGGTTTAGTATGCTTCACTTTGCAGAGCATGACCAGGGATCTTTAGGGCTGAGTTTCAGAAGAAGGCAGAGAGTTTCTGCGCAATAAGCCCCCAAACCCTAAACCCTAAACCCTCCACCCTAAAATCCTGAACCCCCGATTTGAGCTTTGGGCTTCAAGTTCAAGCTAACCGAATTCTCGCTTCAAGGTGTCCGGCCTCACGCCTCAGGTTTCGGGGTGACTGGTAGCATGGTATAGTATACTGCTGTAAACGAGAGTTCACTATAGTGTACTCAAGTAGACGATGTACAATATACTCTACTGTACCAGACTAGGCTGTAATGCACTATACGAAACCTCCACTTTGCGACATCATGCCCGCATGAGCACCTTGCGAGCGAATGCTGACATGCTTTAGGGAGTTAGGTCTAGTTTATGGTTATCCGTACTGCAGTTTGGTGGACTACTTCCAGTACAGCAGGTAGGGTAGAGCATGTGGTGGCGACCCTGGGCCCCAAACCGGAAAACCTAGGCCCTATCTGAAGGCTAAACACTAAACCCTAAACCCTAAACCCCAAACCCTATGCCGTGGGCCTGTCCTGCTCCGTTTTTGGCCGGCCCATTCATACCGTCCAGGTCGATGTAGCCGATGGTCCTAAGTCTCAAAAGGAAGGCTTGTGGGGTTTAGGGTTTAGGGTTTAGGGTGCAGGGTTTAGGGTTTAGGGTTTAGGGTTTAGGGTTTAGGGTTTAGGGTTTAGGGTTTAGGGTTTAGGGTTTAGGGTTTAGTATGTTTCATGCCGAAAGCCTCAAGCTAAAATGCTCGCTGTAAACTCTACTATATCATTTACTACATTATACCATATTCTACTACACTACACTGTATACTTTACACCGAATATATACCAGATTATACTGCACTACACTGTATACTTTACACCAAATATATACCATATTATACTACACTATACTGTATACTTTACTATACATCTCAGCCCGAGGGTCTCTGCATTGGAGAACTCCTTACTGTTGGCACTGGAGCCCGTCACGCGCAAGAAGGCACCTTCCAGGTCCTGATGGGTGCCAGCGTGGCTTTAGCTCAGAAGTTCAGTGGTTTTAGGGTTTAGGGTTTAGGGTTTAAGGTTTAGGGTTTAGGGAAGGCCTTTGAGCAGAGGAGCAGATACTGCACAGGCTTTGCAGCCAGGATTTGGAGTTTGAACTATAGTGGCATTACAGTAGTACTACAGTACAATTATAGTACAATTATAGTACGATTATGGTAGCATGATAGTGTTGGTTTTCAGGCTTCGGCAATATCTGCGAAATTGGGATATCTTGGCCTTGGGCGCCTTCGTGTGCGTGTTATTACCGGTCGTGCCATGGATGCTCTAGGGCTTCAACAAGTTCTATGCCTTGTTCGGCATAGTAGTAAGGCTGTGTGTTCTTTATAGTCATGGTAAGAACCTACTACTTCATGCATACTCCGTCCCGGAGCCTTTAAGACCTAAGCCCAAAACCTGCAAAAAGGGGCTTTGGGGGGTGTCCTGCCATCCAATCGAAGATGTGGGCGACCCATGTGCACAGCCCCAAATGTTGGCGACGACCATGACATGCCTTTGCCCCACTGGAGGTGCGCGGGAGCTCAGGGATTTTAGAGAGGGTTCCATGCGCGACGGCACTAGAATAGGGTTTTAAGTGGTATGCTTTAGCATACTATGGCGTGCTATGGACTTTTGCAATATACACGTATATCCGTATATAGCATCCTGGCTTCAGGGTTCCTTAAAGCCTACGAGCCCCCCCTTCAAAAGACGCCCCCCAAGCCCCTCAAGCTGTAAACCCTGAACGAAGACACAAAGATCCTTCATTCTGGAGTGTTAAGGGGCGCTTTTAAAGGCTTTGAGCTAAGAGAGGGCCGAGGGAACTGCTGACCGCTGCCTGAAGTCCGAGGCTTAAGGAAAAAATGAACCGACTGAGCAATGAACCCTAAAACCTGCAAACCTTGCGAGGCCCCTTTAATGGCAAGACAAACACAAGGCTTGGCCGGTTGTCTCGGGTATGTACGGGATTCGGGACCCCAAAACCCCAACAACGCCTCAACACTGGCAGCCCCCTAAACCCTAAACCCTAAACCCCTCAATGGTAGCCCGGACACGTCACTCCGCTAGTCCTCAGGCCAGCCAAGTTTAGGAAGGCCCACTCGTCGTCACCCTCGCCCTCGCCAGACCGATCATCCTCCGCAGCCATTGCTTACAGGCTTAGGGCCTAGGGTTTAGGGTTTAGGGTGTAGGGTGTAGGGTTTGGGGTTGAGGGTTGAGTGTTGCTACTTATGGCAATAATAATGCTTCTACCATCACTACGACGACGACTGCTGCTGCTCCTACTGCCGGTATTCCTACGACGACGACAACTGCTGCTGCTCCTGCTACTACTACTACGACGACGACTATTTCTACTACTATTTCTACCACTGCTTCCTTCTACTTGTACTACTCGCGCCAGCATAATGACAGCGATAGAGAAGTGCTAGCAATCCTCGGAGATCTTGTAGTTGGCGCTCCTGGCGGACTTGTGGGCGTAGTTCATGTGATCGTAGTACGTACCTGGGTCGTGCCAGGGTTGTGCCAATAACCGTACCCATACCCCCTAATTCGGGATATGCCTGAAATCATGCTGCCAACCCCCGAACCCTAAACCCTAAAGCCTAAACCCTAAAGCCTCAAGCCTAAAAAAAACCCTTAAAACCTGAGTTATAATCCTACAACAAAATAGTACTATACTAATACTGCGAGAATACTATTATGATGCCCTGACTATACTATATTAACATAAAACTATAAGAATGCTATAGCATTCTTTAAGGGCTCTGCGCCCGAGCTGCATTTGCTGGCACCTCCCAACGCCTTGGTCCCTCCACGGCCACAGCTTAGCAGCACCACGCCAATGTCCACGTCCACTTCACCGCCTGGGTTTAGGGTTTTAGGGGTTTAGGGTTCAGGGGAGTCCCATGCAAACCCGGTGCCTGAAGGGTAAACCCCAAAGTATTCAAGTATATTTGTGGTTTAGGGCTTGAGGCTTGCGAGCTGATTAAACAAAAGTTTAGTGCCTAGGGGGGTTTAGGGTTTAGGGTTTAAGGTTTAGGGTTTAGGGCACAATACTTATAATACTATCACACGATAATAACACTATAATCCGACAGCAATACTAATACTATTCTATACTGATACTGTAATACGATGATATACGAATGATACCATAGCACTATTTAATAGTACTAAGCCCTAAACCCTAAACCCTAAACCGATAATACCCCAGCGTCTGGGCTTTCGGGCTGCAGGGCCAAAGTGGTGGTAGGGTTTCTGGCTCAGGGTTGTAGCATTACTGCTCTTATTGTTACGATTTGGTGTTTGGGGTTTAGGGTTTAGGGTTTAGGGTTTTGGTATGCAGAGCTAAACAACCTGAAAGGAGCTCCACAACTACTCAAACCTGCTGTGCGTTCTGGCTGGTTGGGAACCACCTGCCTCGGCACTTGTCACACTCATCCACGCCAATTCCAACGTAGGCCACATCTTGCATGAAGGGTTCGCAGTGGCCCTCTCCTTGTTGGTCGGTCTGCTCAGACTCGTAGCCGCAGTGCAACTATCTACGTATCTACGGCAGCAGCACCAGCAGCTGCAGCAGCTGCTAGTAGTATAGCAGCTCAAAAAAAGAATAGCATCAGCAACAGGAGTAACAATCACAGTAACAACTGCTGGTTCTATCGGTGACGGCTGGTAGCACCTTGTCCTCCCTTAGCTGCCACTCGCCACTCTTGTAACCCTGGACACGCCAGCAGCACCTTACCCTCTCTTAGAGACCCAGTCTCGGGGCACAGAGAGGTGCCAGTTGATGTGACCTTCGCTGCCGAGCGTTTCACGGCTTAGGGTTTATTGCAAAGCCTCCGACAAAGCCTCAAAACATTTAGCTCGGGTTTCGGGTCAAGGGTTACTGTAAGGGTTTAGGGTTTAGGGTTTACTACAACGTCCGAAAGAACTTTGCAATCCTGGCGGGTTAGCGGCCGGTCACGTGGCCCTTGGACTCAGCGCCCCGGAAGATGAAGCCCGAGCCGATGCGAGCCTTGGGGTCCCGGGTGCCTTCCTGCCTCGGCGGGGAAGAGGACCCGAGGTGCCCTATAACCCTCAAGGGTTTAGGGTGTATAGCACTATAGTACTATAATACTATAACAGTGTTACAATAGTACCATACTACGATAATAGCATTATTTATTCTTGGGGTTTCGGGTTCAGCTTCAGTCTTTGGAGTTAGGTTACGAGCAGGGGAGACTGCGTTAGGGCGAAAGGGCTTCGGCGCCCTGTATTACTATTACTCTTCTTGCTGTTACATTTATCATTATTATTACTATTACTATTATTATTAGTAGTACAATAGTATTATGATTCTTCTTTATGACTATTATTAAAATAGTTTCTATTATTCTTTTATCTAGTATTACTTTGGAGTACTACTAGCGTTCTTTTTAATCCCTAACCCTAAAACCCTAAACCCT